GCTCGTACTGTGACGGATAAACCCACACTCCATCATTTCCTTAACCAATCGCTCCATCACCTCCTTTTGAAAATAGGGGTACCTGTACGGCCTCACATTCACGGGGGCAGATCCCGGTTGCAAATGAATCCGATGATCCACGTTGCGAATGGGGGGGAGGTGCCCTGGCTCCGCAAACACTCTCCGATATTGCTGGATCAAGCCCTTCCCTTCTGGCGGTAGCTCTTGCTCCAACACCTCTACCTCTCCCTTCACACCATCTACCGACTCTCTGTCTTCCTCCACTGCTGCCAACGTAAACACCCCCCTGACCGTGCCCTCTTGCACCATGGCATTTAATTGTGAGAAGGTAACCTGCCTCGGGGAAAGGTGGGTATCCCCGGCTAAGCTCACACTCTATCCATTCCATTTAAACTCCATTGTCAAAGCGTCATGATCGTGTAAACAAGGTCCTAACGTCCGCAGCCACTGCATTCCCAAGACCACATCCAATCCCCAAATCGGTAGCACAAACAAATTGACTTCAAAACGAGTTCCTTGGAGGATAAGTTCTACCCCCACACACTTTCTGTCACACACAAGGAATTGTCCATTGCCCATGTAAACCTTAAACTTCTTGGCGTCTTCACAACTTAACCCCAATTTTTCCACCAGTGCCTCTTGTATGAAGTTATTGTTACTCCCCGTATCAATCAAAACTTCTAGGTCCTCATGTCCATGTTTAGCCATTATCCTAAATATGCGGGAATTGGTGGAATTTGAAAAAGTGTTTAGGCTTACCTCCAAGTCGTCATCAGCCGAGACCTCCTCCGGAATTTGCGGGGCCACCTCTGATTGTACCTCCTCCTCCTCTTCACCAAACATGAATAAGGCTCGGCTCTTGCATTTGTGGTGGATGTGATATTTCTCATCACAGTTGAAACACAACCCTTTCTCCCGCTTGGCTTGTACCTCGGCCGGTGTCAATCGTTTGATCGGGAGCCTGAATTCACCCCGGGGTGTAGCCATTGGGCTTGGGGTAGTGAATGCCACAGTTCCTTGACAAAGAGCTGGAAACGCCCCTGCCGGTCCAGGTCGGGAGAAGCTGGATTTAACGGCGCGGTATCCTTCTCGTCGAGTCCTCCCCAGTAGTTCATCGTTCCGTTCCTCATAAAGCTGAGCCTGAGCCATTGCCTCAGCTAAAGTGAGAGGCCTATGCAACAATAGTTCACGGCGGATCTCCGTTTTTAACCCCCAAATAAAGAAATTAAGGAATAAGGGCTCGGAAACACCTGATATTCGCATCATGAGACCTTCAAATTCTGCGCGAAATTTGGTGACAGTTCCAGTCTGTACCAGTTTGGAGATGCGACCCAGGGGATCATCATAGATCGATGACCCAAATCTTTTCCGTAGTTCGTAGAGGAACACCTCCCAGCTGGGCACCGCTCTGGCCTTTTCCATCCACTGAAACCAAGTGGAGGGCTCACCGTCGAGATGAAACGACACCACGGCAAGCCGAGTCGCTAGTTCCACCTTGTGCAGAGCAAAAAATTTGTCAATTCTTTAGATCCATGTTTCAACATTGGTGTCGTTGAAGCGTGGAACATCCACCCGAAGAGTTTTGAGGACCGATTGAACGTCATTCGTAGTGGGTGCTGCCCCCACCCGTACACCTCCACCTTGAAGGCTCCCTGCTTCGCCGTCCGCATGCGCCGCCGAACGTTCTGTTTCCGGCTGTGCTCCCTGGTTGGCTTGGGTGGACTGGAAAAGTTGAAATTCCGTGCTGGCCATGTGTTGTTCCAACAGTGAGGAAAACTTCGCGAGCTGATCGTCCGAGTGTTGCTTGAAGCTTGCTTCCATGGCTTTCATTAACTCGGCTATCTCCTCATTCCTCATGGTCGATGAAAGCACCAGTGATATGAATGATAAAAACGGCACTCTTCGAGTCAGTGCGAAACTCCTCAAAAGAAAAAAACTATTATTCACGATCCCCCCACTATTACAGTTCTTCTTCCTTTTATATCTCCGGTTTCATCCCACGGAGATTCCCAGCAACAGAAAATTAAAAGAAAAAGAAGAATTAATCCCATAACAGAAATTCCCACAGCAACCCGCAATTCTCGCTTCCCTCAGCGCCTATCCTCCAGCTCGAAGCCGTCTAACCAACTCGGGGGTCTACGCGCTCTGGCTCTGCGTTCATCCCCAACTCCCTCTTCTGGAACTCCCTCGTTGCTTTGCTTCCGTTCACTGCCTCTCTTTTGGAAACGACCTTTGACCTCAGTCGTTTTACCCAGGCCTACTTCTTCTTGGGCCTCGTCTTCAGCCCACCTACTTAAACTCTCCTGGACCTTGTCATGGGCCAATTCTAGCCCAGCCCAGCTATCAATGAGCCTCACAAGTTGACCATATCCGACGTCGTTTCCCTACCCGGATTGTCCGGAAAGATTGAAGTTGTTGATCAAAACTCTATTAATATATTCCCAGGGAAAAAGTTATAGGGTGGTTTTTAATAGCTTTTGTGAGTTGGAGAGTGCAATACGAGGATTATTTTGTCAACTTAGTAGAGATAAAGGCGTGGAGCTTTGGGCAAAAAATGGTCTTATTATTCTTTGGTTGAAATGAGAGCCAAGTTCTAAAGAGCAAAACTCAGTGTTGCATGTTAGTTTTAGGAGTCTGACCAAGTGCCGCGGAACCCAACTATGGAACTGGCTCATAGTCTTGAAGCTTGCAGTCATACCTTTGTTTGCGCGGTCGAGAAGGAGAAGGAAACAGGGGGAGCTCATTCTAAAAGAACAAATACAAATGGGTTTGTGACGAAGGGTCGGGCACTAGTTAGTACGAAAGCTGATTTTAAACCACCTTGCCATTGGAGGGATGGTTACTCGTAGGATTTGGAACTCTATAATGGAAGGCCCATCCTCAGGCTTGCCGATGATTACTTGTCTTCTATTTGCGGAGCAATTTCATAATGAGAAGTGTTGTGTGGAAAAATATGCGTTGACACGTCAGATAACGACCACGCTCCACGCTCCACGTGAGCCAAAACCTGCCACGTCAAACGGCCGTCGACGCCTAAGGCTCATTCCCCCATCGCCATCGGGTGAAAAGGCCGATCATATGGGACGATTCACACAACCGTCAACCCTACATCTAGTCGAGGTCTGCGTAATTTGTTCGCAACAAAAGGGGTACTATCAGGGGGTCGACCGAGACAGAGGTCGCGCCCTGTAAAGTATAATGTAGGCGCAGAGGGCAGAATGCATGAATATGAGTCCACGTCCCAAGAAAGACCTTTGAGGGGACAAGGAAAAAATTCCTAGGTTACATCTGGGTTTGGAGAAGGTCAGTAGCACAGGAAATGATTACCTACCCATAAACCGCCTAGAATGGACCAATGAAAATCACAGAGAATCCGCAGAGCCGCAATGTGGACAAAGTGAGTGAGTGAACAGTCCAAAAGGTGCTGAGAAGCTACGGTCCAAGCAGGTAGGATAATAGGCTACTTGAGAGAAACCATCAGAAAACCCCATGTGACAGTCCGCCCAAAATATACCCATATGTAATTTGTAGGTTATAAAAAGGGCAAAACCCCAGAGAGAAAGAGATAGAGCTTTTTTGTAATCTTAAAAGCACAAAAGGAAAAATACAAGAACCTAGCTCTTTTTTATAGAGTGAACCACCATAAATTCGTGTCTCTTTACCTCCGTTCTAACAACAAATCAATACATCTTACAATATACCTAAAAACGAACGCTATCAGTTGCATAAATCTGAGAAAATAATTAGTTTTGGCCGGTAACCCAATGGACCACCAAGAGGTAATCCGACATAATCTTGTTGACGAAATTCTACTGTCAACAATTGGCGACTTTGCTGGGGAGAAAACCCAAAATCTCTGGTTCGTGTGTTTAGGACCCGAGACAACTAAGAAATAACCAACGATCAGGCCTCCGAGAAGAGGAATAATTGCGCCGCAAATCAAGGCAGCCAAACGGAGGAGAACGCCGCACATCCGGCCAACAATGGGAGCGGAAAAGATCAACCCGAGCAGGGGAATCAGCCCCCGGTGAGGAACGAAATTCTGCACCCGGGTATGCCACAGCTTGAACCGGTACATATGCAAGCCAAGTTGAATGCTATGACCGACTTGGTTCGAGGGCTGGTGACCATCGTCGAGCGGATAGACGAGAGAGGCTCTATGCCCCCTCTGGGGGACACCCCGGGACCACTGAGCGCCGCCGTGGTTGGAAACCAAAACGCTGGTCACCAGCACGGTGCCCCGAAAGGGATTGGGGAAAGTGAAAATGCCAGAGAGGATAACCTGAGGCCTCGACCGTCCAAGTCCCTCGGCAGTCGACAAAGGGCCGCCAGGCGACGAGCCTAGGAGAAAAGAGCGATCGGAGGTCTGGAGAACCCTAAAGCGCCACCTCGAAACCCATGTAAGAATATCCCAGAAGATTCAGGGTCGGTGCAAAGGGGCGGAGACCTAAGGAATAAGTTGAATGCCAAGAAGACAAGAGCCTCGAAAGGGGTCAGTTCTGCAATCTCGACGGATGAGGCAAAGGCCATCATGGAGCGCGTGGCGAGCTTGGTAGAAAAGCTCACAGGTGATGTCGCTGGTCTAAAGAAGGATGTGAAAGGCTAGGTGAGTCACCGGCAAAAGAACCTGAGGCAGGTGGCGGAGGTAGTTAATGTCGACATTGCTCCTAGTCGAACTCATGACCACCCTTTTATCGCAGAAATCATGGCATCACCTCTCCCAGACAAATACGAGTCCTCGTCGATCCCACCATACGACGGCAGAGGAGATCCCGACGACCATCTGGAGATGTACATGGGACACATGCTTCTGCATGGATACGCAGAGGAAATAATGTGTCGGGCGTTCCGGAACCACTTGATGAGATTCAAGGTCGGTGCAAAGGGGCGGAGACCTGAGGAATAAGTTGGATGCCAAGAAGACAAGAGCATCGAAAGGGGTCAGTTCTGCAATCTCGACGGATGAGGCAAAGGCTATCATGGAGCGCGTGGCGAGCTTGGCAGAAAAGCTCACAGGTGATGTCGCTGGTCTAAAGAAGGATGTGAAAGGCCAGGTGAGTCACCTGCAAAAGAACCTAAGGCAGGTGGCGGAGGTAGTTAATGTCGACATCGCTCCTAGTCGAACTCATTACCACCCTTTTACCACAGAAATCATGGCATCACCTCTCCCAGACAAATATGAGTCCCCGTCAATCCCACCATACGACGGCAGAGGAGATCCCGACGACCATCTGGAAATGTACACAGGACACATGCTTCTACATGGATACGCAGAGGAAATAATGTGTCGAGCATTCCGGAACCACTTGACGGATTCTGCCCGAAGATGGTTCCGGACGCTCAAGCTAGACTCCATCTCCAGCTGGGAAGAATTGAAGGAAGCCTTTTCCCTCCAGTTCATCGGGGTAAAAAAGTACATCTCGCCAAAGCAAAATGTGACAATGGTTTACCAAGAACAAAACGAATTATTAAAAAAGTGGCTGACAAGGTACGGAGAAGCCGTTGCTGCTACAACGGATATGACGGATATAGAGGCTCTTATGGGAGCTTTATCTAGTATGAAAAAGATCATGCCGTTTAAACGCGACCTGAACCGAAAGCCACCGGCCACCTACAAAGAATTCTTAGCATGGGCATAGGGATATATCAACGCCGAAGAAGCCGACGCAAATGACCCCGAGCACAGATCCAACAAAAACAAAGTAACGGAGCAAAGGTCAACCTCGGGAAAACAAGATAATCGAAAACGGCGAGTTGGATGAGACGGAGACAAATAGGTCGCATCGGCGTTGAACCCTCCAGAAACGAAGAAGCCCGGGCAAGAGGAAAATCGAAAGCCTCGCACATTCCAACGATATGATTCCTACCATGAGTTGTATTCAATCAAGTTAGTCGAGGAAACCTGTTGCGCCGACCAGAGCCTATGAAGTCGGATCCAAACCGAAGGAATCAAAACAAGTACTACAGGTTCCATGGAGACGTCAGCCACAACACCAACGATTGCACTGACCTGAAGGATGAGACTGAAAGACTAATCCGCGATGGGAGGTTGCAAGAATTTAAAGCCGATAGGAGAGGCCATGGCCACGAAAGCGACGGTCGGCGCCAAGAGGATAATAGACATGGAAAAGACCGTGAGCCAGTCGGTGTCATAAAGACCATCCATAAGGGACCATATCTCGGGGGGAGGGGGAATTCAAGGAGATCCCAGAAAAATTACACCCACGAGGCAAGACAGGTGTACTAAGAGAGGTTTTAGCACCTCTCAACTGCCAAGCCAACAAAAATAACAAAATTCGGTGGTGCTGAAGTGGTTTTCACCGAAGAGGATGCGACTGGGATCCATTTCCCCCATAATGATGCCTTAGTAGTAGAGGCAATGATTGGAAACCACATCGTATGTAGAATTCTCGTGGACAACGAGAGCTCGGTGGAGATCCTGTACTCTGATTGCCTGGAAAAGATGGGAATCCCAGGGGAGCAACTGGAAAAAACGTCCCGGCCATTATACGGGTTCACAAGGGACTCAGTCATCCCCCAAGGAACGATCAGGCTGCCTATGACCGTAGGAAAGAAGCCTAGGCAAACAACTACGATGATAAATTTTGTGGTAATTAAAGGGGGCTCACAGTACAACGCCGTGATCGGGAGGCCGACCTTTCAGGCACTAAGAGCAATAACATTCATCTACCATCAAAAGGTTAAGTTCCCGACCCCCAATGGCGTTAGAGAAATGAAGAGCAATCAATACGAATCCATTGTTGCATACTCAGATACCATACGGGGATATGATCAACCAAGGAGACATGAAGCAAGAATGGTACATCAGGGACTAGTTGAGGACATAGATCCTAAAATCGAAAAAGAGATTACATGGTCCCAACCAATCGAGCAGTTGGTGGAAATCTGGGTAGATAACGAGAAGCCGACGAGGGTACTAAAAATAGGCTCGGATTTGCCCCAAGCGCTTAAAGTTGAAGTTGAAAACTTCCTGAAGAAAAATCTAGATGTGTTTGCCTGGACGCATGCTGATATGGTAGGAATCGACTCTGAAGTCTTGTGCCACGCTTTGAACGCCGACCCATCTTATCCTCATAAACGCTAAAAGCGCCGACCAATGAATCTGGAGAGGTACGAGGCATTAAAGGAAGAGGTCGACAAACTGATTAGCAACGGCTTCATCGGGGAAGCTCATTATCCTAGATGGGTTTCAAACCCTGTCCTGGTGATCAAGCCTAACGGGAAGTGGAGGACGTGTGTTGACTTTAGCGACCTCAATAAGGCTTGCCCGAAAAACAGTTTTCCACTCTTCTGAATAGATCAAATGGTTGACGCTACTGCCGGACAAGAGTTGTTAAGATTCATGGATGCCTACTCCGGTTATAACCAGATTCCCATGCATCTGTCCGATGAAGAGCACACATCGTTCATAATAGACATGGGCTTCTATTGATATAAGATAATGCCCTTTGGCTTGAAGAATGTAGGGGTGACATACCAGATAATGGTAAACAAAATGTTTGTTGACCAGATCGGGAAGACGATGGAGGTTTATGTCGATTAACATGTTGGTAAAAAGCACTAAGGCTGGATGGCACGTCACGCACTTGAGGGAGATATTTAATGTGCTGAGAAGATATCACATGAAGCTAAATCCCCTGAAGTGCGCTTTTAGAGTTGAATCAGGAAAATTTCTAGGGTTTATGGTCAGTTACAGAGGAATAGATGCTAACTCGGAAAAAATAAAAGCCTTGCAAGACATGAGGTCCCCCACAAAACCGAAAGAAGTCCAGAGGTTGACAGGATGTATAGTTACTCTTAATAGGTTAATATCTAAGGCGACAGACAAATGTGTGCCCTTCTTCGACGCATTGAAAGGAAGTAAACGGTTTGAGTGGACGCCGCAATGTGAGGAGGCCTTCTAAAGGCTAAAGAAGCACCTGGGTAGACCCCCTATCATGTCGAAGCCAATCCCGGGTGAAGGGCTAAGCCTATATCTCTATGTTTCAAAGCATGTCGTAAGTTCTGTATACTCATTAGGGAAGAAGAAATGGTCCAGTTGACAGTCTACTACGTGAGTAAAAGGCTCCTAGATGCCGAGTCAAGAGCTATCGCCTTAATGGTGGCCTCAAGAAAGCTTCGACATTATTTTCAGGCCCACACAATACGGGTTCTGACAAATCACCCACTCAGCCAAGCATTGCAGAAGCCTGAAACCTCCGGTCGACTCCTAAAATGGTCGGTAGAGTTAAGCCAGTTCGACATTGAATACGTGCCGATGACAGCGATCAAAGGGTAGGCGTTGGCTGATTTCATGGCAGAATTTTTCCACAGGCCAACAATAGCTGAGGATGAAGAAGTTAAGGAAATGGAGTGGAAACTCTACGTAGACAGAGCAACAAATGAAATTGGATCAGGAGTGGGCGTCATGTTGATAAGTCTAGAGGGCCACAAAATCACCTTAGCGGTGTGGTTCAAATTCAAGGCATCGAATAATGATGTGAAATATGAGGCGTTGATTGCAGGATTACGGTTGGCAAGCCACTTAAAGATTGAAAGCCTTGGCATTTTTAGTGACTTTCAACTAGTGGTCGGACAAGTAAAGGAAGAGTATTAGGCACGCGGCGAAAGAATGGGGGCATACTTGAGAAAAGTAAAGGAATAGCTCATTAAGTTAAAAAACTATGACATAATGTAGGTACCAAGAGCCAAAAATACAAATACCGATGCCTTAGCCAAGCGGGCGTCCTCAAGGGATTCAGATATGCTAGGGGTCGTCCCCATCGAAGAAATGGAACGACCATCAATTGATGAGAAAGCAGAAGTCTTGACAACCTAGGCGACTAAAAACTGGATGACATCACTCGTTTAATACTTGATGGATGCGAAGCTACCTAACGACAAGGATGAGGCCAGGAGGGTCAAATATAGAGCTGATAGATACTTACTATATGATAGCCTGTTATACAGATGAGGTTTCTCAACGCCCTTACAACGATGCCTTGATGACAACGAGGCGTGGGAGGTCTTCCAGGAGATCCATGAAGGAGTGTGTGGTAATCATATTGGGGGGCAATCTTTAGCTCTTAAGGTTTTGAGGCAAGGGTACTAATGGTCTACGCTTAAAAAAGATGCGTATCAATACGCTCGGCGTTGCGATAAGTGCCACGATATACCACGATTCCTAGAGCGCCCCCAGAAAACCTAACTTCCATTCTTAGCCCATGGCCTTTTGCGAAATGGGGGGTCGACATAATCGGACCTTTGCACCTCGCACCGGGTGGTTTTAAGTTTGTCATCGTCGCCATAGACTATTACACTAAGTGCGCCGAGGCGAAAGCTCTTACTTCGACCACAAAGGCTATCTGCACAAACTTCACTTGGAACAACATTGTGTGCAGATTTGGGGTTCTGCATTCGATCGTGTTCGACAACGGTGAACAGTTTGATAATGTCTCGGCGCGTAAATTTTACGACGATTTGGGCATTCAGAAAGACTTCTCAGCTCTGATACATTCGTAATCCAACGGCCAAGTTGAAGCCGTCAACAAAATCCTGAAGTACACCCTGAAGAAAAAGCTTGATGACTTGAAGGGAAAATGGACTGAAAAACTCCTGAAGGTCTTGTAGGCATATAGGACGACAAGTCAAACTACAACAGGTGAAACACTATTCTCTATGACGTATGGGGTCGAGGCAGTACTCCCTGTGAAAATTGAAACGCCGACACTAAGAACTGTCGCGTACGAGGACGACGTGAATGTCGAAGCAATGAACATGGAGCTCAATCTGTTGGAAGAAAAAATGATCGACTCTCAACTATGACTCGCCGCTTACCAACAAAGAACAATGCATTATTACAAAAAAAAAGTCAGAAGAAGACGGTTTTCCCCAGGGGACCTTGTCTTAAAAAGGGTCACATTGAGTACTAAGCCTAAAAATACTGGTCCTTTGGGCCCGACTTTGGAGGGACCCTACCGCATGAGAGAGATACTATGCCCTGGCACTTATGTCTTAGAAAACATTCATGGTAAGAGAATTCAGCACCCCTGGAATGCCATTGTATTATCAATAACCTGTATTGTTTGCTATGTTGTATCTACATTTTGTCAAATAAATTAAAGCTCACTCCTCCAGAACGTTAAAGTAATGTCCGCTCAAGAACCAAGGTTCTTAACCACACATAAAGGGGCAAGAGAGGGTCTACGCTCAAACCTGCTAGAAGCCCCGAGGAGAATTAAGAAAGCTGACTCCTTCAAAGAGGAGAAGCCTCTATACTTAGCAGATTCTCAAATTTGCTAAAAGCCCCAAGTGGCATCAAGAAAGCTGACTCCTCCAAGGAGGAGAAGCCTCTATACTTAGCAGATTCTCAAATCTGCTAAAAGCCCCAAGGGGGATCAAGAAAGCTGACTCCTACAAGGAGAAGAAGCTTTTATACTTAGCAGATTCTCAAATTTGCTAAAAGCCCCAAAGGGCATCTAGAAAGCTGACCCCACTAATAAGGAGAAGCTTCCATATACTTAGCAGATTCTCAAATCTGCTAAAAGCCCCATGAGGCATCAAGAAAGCTGACTCCTCCAAGGAGGAGAAGCTTCTATACTTAGTAGATTCTCAAATCTGCTAAAAGCCCCAATGGACATCAAGAAAGATGACTCTTCCAAGGAGGAGAAGCTTCTATACTTACCAGATTCTCAAATCTGCTAAAAGCCCCAGGGGGCATCAAGAAAGTTGACTCCTGCAAGGAGGAGAAGCTTCTATACTTAGGAAATTCTCAAATCTGCTAAAAGCCCCAAGGGGCATCAAGAAAGCTGATTCTTCCAAGGAGGAGAAGCTTATATACTTAGCAGATTCTTAAATCTGTTAAAAGCCCCAAGGGGCATCAAGAAAGTTGACTCCTCCAAGGAGGAGAAGCTTCTATACTTAACAGATTCTTAAATCTGCTAAAAGCCCTAAGAGGCATCAAGAAAGTTGACTCATTCAAGGAGGAGAAGCTTCTATACTTAGCAGATTCTCAAATTTGTTAAAAGCCCTAAAGGGCATCCAGAAAGCTGACCCCTCCAAGGAGGAGAAGCTTCCATATACTTAGCAGATTCTCAAATATGCTAAAAGCCTCAAGGGGCATCAAGAAAGCTAACTCCTCTAAGGAGGATAAGCTTCTATACTTAGCAGATTCTCAAATCTGCTAAAAGCCCTAAGGGGCATCAAGAAAGCTTACTCATCCAAGGAGGAGAAGCTTCTATACTTAGCAGATTCTCAAATTTGCTAAAATCCCCAATGAGCATTCAGAAAGCTGACCCCTCTAAGAAGAAGAAGCTTCCATATACTTAGAAGATTCTCAAATTTGCTAAAAGGCCCAAGGGGCATCACGAAAGCTGACTCCTCTAAGGAGGAGAAACTTCCAGATAAAAGCCTGAGGGGCATCAAAGCCGACACCTCCAAAAAGGAGAAGCTAAGTCTAAGAGCCTACGACCGACTACTTGAAAAAATAAATCGACAGAATAAAATAAGGCTACAGTAAAGATAAGCAATATACATATCGGCAGGATAGAAATCCATTGTCTTAATGTTGAGAAAAAAGATTACATAAATGAAAACAAGGATCAACGCCAGGTGTCCTAGGCCTCGTTGCCCTTACCGTCTTCGCCCCTATCAGCTCCCTCAGTGCCACCACTACCCTCGCCGTCTTCACCACCGACAAGTGAACCCTCATCATCAGAAGGAGGCTCATAAAGGAAGTCCAAATTCATATAAGGAATGTGCATGTTGATCCTAGCAACAAGTTGCTCGCCAACAAACAGCATGTCACTGGCACGCATATCGTGCAGCTCGTCGGAGGATTTGAAATCCTCGATGGCCTTGGCAGCGACCTCTGCATTTGCTGAGCAAATTTAGCAGAGGCGAAGAATCCCTCGACTCCCTCCTTCTTACCTAGGTCGTAGCCTTCTTGCTTACCTAGGTCATATCCCTCCAGCCGGCCTTGACAAAATAAGGCCTCTTTGGAGTCAGCGGCTTGCTTACGGGCTGCTTCCGCTTCCTTCTTTGCCTCCTCCAAGTCAGCCTTCGTCGCGTTTAGCTCCTTCACGGCGAGGGTAAGCTTCTTCGAAA